CAATTGTGAATAAAAGCTGATTTTTGTTTTATGCTAATTCAGCTTAAATAGACTAGAGTGACTATGATTTAAAAAAAAAAAAGCAAATTGGCAATGTCATATTATTTTCCCATAAGTTACTATTTTAGTGAGTCAAGTTAATATCTTTACTATGATAGAGCAGGGATTATTGCTGTTTAGTTTTACTTTGATATATCAGTTAAAATGTCTATGACCACTGGTAGTGTGGGTAAATATTAGGAAGGTAAAATGTATTCTCAGAACAGAATCAATCCTTATAACTAAAGAATGCTCTAATCGAGGAGGAAGCATAGGTAGTTGTGAGAGTAGTTATTTGCAAGTGTGAAGACATGAGCTCCTGTCCCTGCTTCCTAGATTTTCTGAACTTTAAATAATGTATGTTTATTGCAAAACAGGTAAGTTTCATTCTGGACCTGCTTATTGTTGCCTTTCTGAAATATAGGTCTAATGGCAATCCTCTTTTCTGTTATCTTATCTGTCATACAGTTTAGGTTTTGGCTTCTTTTAGAGAATGTGTGTTGTAATAGTAATTACTGGACCCAATTGTGCATTCTGTCTTTTCTGAGAATAATATTTTTATAGCCCCTGACTGATAGGAGATGACTAGGCCAAGAAGAAGAGCCGTCTTGTGTTTTTGGCTTGGAGGTACACAATATGAACAAAAACAGACTGCTGGCTATGGAATCTTAGAAACACCTTTTGCTATTTTCATATTTAACTATGAGAGAACCTAAATGGTAATATCAAGAGAATTTATTTTTCCCGATTGACGTTTGTTCTGCCATATGGACCACCATATTTTGAAAGGCTGCCTGAAGTTGTCCCAGATGTTTCTTACAGCAAAATACAGATGCATTAGTGTGAAAGTAAATTCAAGGTAAAAACACGTGCGCCCTTTAGATATTCTGAATCTGTTGAATCCAAAGAAGGTAAAAGGAAGGTAGTTTCCATATGAGAGGAATATGAAAAAAGTAGCTGACAGCAGTAGTGAAATAAGGTATTGAATATGAGGGACTGAAATTATCATCATGCAGATTAAAAAGGGGGGGGGGGGAAAGATGCACTGCTCTCTTGAGGTTTCAGCAAGCTTGGGCTAACTTTTGAAGTACATCTAGAAAATAGGTCTTATCCTTTGACTTTGAACTGCACCAAAAAAGTTACGAGAATAGCTTTGGATCAAAGGGTTCAGGAGCAAACCTCAAATTTGAGGGGATTAAGTAACTGAATTTAAGATTCTGACTATGTTCCATTTCTGGTAGTGATCAAGATCTTTATTTTTCTTTTGCTTATGATATGGTAGAATAGCTTCATAAAGGCAAATGTGGTTGCATTAAAAAAAAACCTGATGCATAAAGGCAATCAGATGTAACGTTTTTATCATCTGACTGTTTTTTTTTTTTTTGGTGTCTTTGAAATAAATCCATTGTTCATATAAGCTCATCCCTGGTGAAGTCCACATGTGAAATATTAATAGCTGTACAAGTAAGTACCTTTTTGTCAGCTCATTTTTTCCAGGTACTTGGTTTAGTTTCTGCCCTTACACTTTGCATTCAGTTAATCATTTAATTGTTTCATTTTTAGTTACATTAATCTGTGTTAATCAGAAGATATTAGAAGGTACTGAATATAAAAAACTGATGTTCATAAATTTCATCATGCTCCATTTTATGGTGCAGGAATATTTGGACCAAAAAATACATATGTTGTCATCTGTAAACAGAGGGTGATACAGGAAACAGATTTGCCATTTCCTGTTTTAGTGTGTAAACTTGTATCTACCTCTGTTTTTCTGATCTCAATTAAACATTTTTAAATTAAAGCTTGAATTGGACTGGAAAACTTTTTCATTGGAGGTCATTAGTGCATGCTATTCTTTCAGCAGTTTAATACTAAAAGCAGTTTGTAAGAGTTACCTGCACCTGGCAATACAATCTTCTTGTCTAATGAGCAATAATAAAAAAGTAGATTATACAGTCATCTTTGAAAATGAAACCTAGAATTAAAAATGAAGCTAAAAGACAAAATCAATCTTATAATGGATTTAGATAACTCTGGCACAAGATTTATGTGACTAAATAAGTAGGATCAAAAATGACAATTCCTCCCCCATCCCAAGATTTCCATGAGGACCTGTAGTATATTGAAACTCAAATTTTCAAATGCAGGTGAAATCTATGATTGTGCCAAAGAAGATTTTCTTTTTTTGGAAGAAAGAACCTTCTAAACTCCAGTGGAAACCACCTATTCCCAGGCATACTTCATCAAATGTAAAGTTATTTTTAAAAGCTAAGTTAATCAGTAGTGCATATTTATAATGTTTATAGTGCATGTGTTAAGGAAACCTGATATATTTTACTGTTATGAAGAGCTGAAAATCAGTGAGTGAAATGTGAAGTCTTATAATCCTGCAAGGCTATTTATGAATGAATGGGGTGTTGGTTCATGGACAGGTAATTCTGGGGAAATGTGCTCTTGCTTGCGCTCTCTCTCGCGCTCACTCACACACACACACACACACACTATAAAGGGGATTAACTTCCTAAATTAGGCATATGGTATGCATAATATTTAAAAAGGTGCCAGATTTGTGTAATAGAATTGCTTTCAGAAAACTTGAGCAGCATAGGAGTTGAATGCAAAGATTCTTATGGTTCACGTCTGAAGTCCCAGAGAGAGCAGAAAAGTAGTTTAAGGAATTCACATGGCATTTTGAAGGGGCCTTACTTCCAATAAAAATGCCCATTAATCAGAATTTATTAGTTCTGTGAGATCTTGTTTCTGCAAGTTGAAGACTTTTTTGGGCTGTTGTCTAATTCCATAACTGCAATTTATTTGGATTGTACAGATGATCAGCACCTTATTAGTTTTGGTCCTTGCAGGCAATGAAGAGCAGAGTTGTCATTGTGCATTTGCTAACTGTGACACTTTGGAAACAGTTCTTGTCACTATTTCCTTAAGCAGTTTGATGCTTGCTTTGTTAAACTGCGTACACTTTTCAGTCAGGCGTTCTCCTGGCTGCATCAAAGGTGCTGAGTAACTACATTAACCTTGGTGTGTTTTGGCAATAGAAGGGAAAATAAACATCAATAAATGTCTCCCACAGCACTGATAAACTCCAAGGGCATAAAGTGAGGCAGTTGTGAGTTGTGGGGGATAATTTGGTCAAGTATATCTTTCTCTTCAAACTACCTGTTGGCACTTCAATATTAGCTAAGTATATCTTAAATCAGTTCTCGTTGAACAGCTTGTACTGCTTGGGATGGTATGGGGTTGTTAACAGATTCAGAAATGTGTGTGTGTTTACTGTTATCTCTGAATCTTATTAGAGGGCTCAAAATCGCTCTTTATTTTGCTGTATTTGACATAACTATTAACTGTCCAAACAGTGTTTGCTTTTAGAAAGCTGGGCTTTGTTGGAGCATTTGGACCATCCAATTTCCTGCAACGCCAGATTATTTTTTACCTTGTTGGTTGTCATAGGGTAAGTCTTGAAGGCTTCACAACATGAGTCTGGTAGAGGTAAGCTTTTAGATGTTTAAACGTTCACTTGAACTATATAATGGTGGTGAGAATCTGGGGTGAAAAGGTATGTTTGTATTTGTTCCTATTCCTCGCTGTGGGTGTCTGATGCCCAGAACTTGATGCCTCCTTCACTCCTCCCTGTAAATTTTCTGTGCTCTTAAGCAGAGTGTGTTGAAGGGACTATCTCCAGGGAGGCTTCCCAGAGAGACCTGAGCTTGCTCTGTCGTGACCACTGTAAACACTAGTTGTTCGGTACTGAGGCAGAGCATCAGCCCTGCTCAAAATCATGCTGTAATTTGCTTGGAGATGGGCAAGTCATAGTCAGGTGACTTTGGTCTGATAACCAACACTGCCTCCTGCCTGCAGAATAAATTAAGAATATACATGAAAGCCCCTGGACTGCGTAACAGAAGGATGACAGAGCAGTTGCATGGGCGCAGAAGTCAGTCAAAACAATGTTGTAATGATCTGATCCTGCTCCTTGTGGTGTTTTCCTTTTCTCTTCCCTCCTGCTATTACTGGCACACATGCAGCACTCCTTAGGGAGAGTGAGCAGATCCATCACCTACTTACATATAAACAATATTAGAATCTCTGATGAATGAGGTAAGTTGATTTTAAGACTTGAAGTTAAATATGTAATTCAACTGTTTCCTGCTGTGCAAATATCTTATTGATACCAAAACTAGCTAGTATTTTCCACAACGTTTGCAAGAATGTTAATTATCTTTCCTGTTTTTGATTAAGTGGTGAGAAGAAACCTCTAACTGGAAGGCCAAATATAGCAAAATTCCTTTTATCTTTTCCGGAACCAAGTTCTCATCCATCCTTAAGAGCCTTTGATTTCCCCGTCTTTGATTTCCCCCGCCCTGTCCCCTCTCTCCCTCCCCAAGATGTTGGAGCTCTGAATGGGTCTATTAAGGGCCTGTACTTGATTTCAGTCTTTGACATCAGTGGTGAGTTTGCTTCCCAAAGACCATAAAGTATGTATCTAACAGGGAAGGAGAAAAGAAATTTAATCTATTTGAGGTTCAGTATATTGGTGTTATTAGCCATCAATCTTAATATCTTAACTCCATTTTTTTGCACAAATTTAATAATATGAATACTTTACAGTCTCTTGGAAGAGACTGTGAAAGACAAAACCAATTACAGAAATGTCAGAATTTCCATAGGAAGGTAACCTTCCTTTTAGCAGTAGCAGAGGAACAAAACAAACTGATAGTGATTAAAGTGTCAGGATATAATTGCGTTTTCTTCCAAATAAACCATCAACTCCCAATAAATAATTAAAGCAAGCCATGTTCCTCAGGATGCAACAGTTCAGTAGCTGTAATTAAAAGTGCTAGGAGCCATTATTGGATTTTTTATGATAAATTTTTTCTTATTGTCAGATTGTTATATTTTATTACCTCGCTTTTTTTTTTTTAAGGCTTACTGGGAAAACATAACTTGTATGAGACTGTAATGATATATGCTCCATGATGATTTCACAAGTGACCTTTAAATGGTCTCTGTTCTAGAGAGAAACATGTGAATCTAGACTTAAGAATGACGACTAAATTTGTCAAGGCCTTAGCAATGTCCAAAGAGCCATAAGATGGCCACCTAGCACTTTGGCATATGTACAGAAGGGTCTGTTTCTCCATTTTTCTTCATACTATCTTTAGCTGATTGCTTAGTATTTAGTGATTTAATAAGACATTTAGTATTAATAAAGAATGTAAAAATCCAGAAAACCTCAGGAGCATAATATAGCCATGAGAGCAGACTGTGGCCTGCTCATTAGTGATGATGAAGCATAAACCAGATGGAATTCAAGGACATTTTGTAGGATTATCAGTTAGGTTGCACTATTCTTAAACTTCAAGCTGTGTTTATTTGTGGATCTTACAATGCCATTCTTGCATTCACTTTCAGGAGAGAATTGCAGCTTTAAAAAGGTAAACATTTATTTTTTAATAATTTTTTTCATTGTGATTTAAATTTTCTTTTCTCCTGTGTAGTGTTTCTTTTCTGATTTGTACTTTGGTTGTTCAGTCTCACCTCTAGATAATACAGGTTATTCCAGAAATGCTTATTTTTCTCTATAAATTGAAGTTTAAACATTAATCTTAAATTTTCATTTTGCATCATAAAGTCATTTGAGCTGATTAAATCACTTAAGGCACAAATTAAGTGAAAAGTGAACAAAATCTTCTGTAAAACAAATAGCAAGAATTGTGGTCTGTTGGTCTCTTAAATCCATTTTTAATATCGGATATATTTTGGCCAGTGAATAGAGCCTAATTTTGGTTAAGTCAGAAATTTACTGCCAACACTTTGTTGCATTTCAAGGCCTAAATCATTTATGAACAATGTCAAAATGTATGTTAGGTAGGGTGTATAGTACTATCCAGTCTTTGACAGTTCAGGGCTTGTGAAGAAATGGAGTTTTGGACACTTGGAGAATTTAAGATCCAAATGTGAGAAAAGTTCAAAAGACTGTTCAAAATCATAGTTTTGAATTTTAGCCTCAGAATTCCAGCTAATTCTATAAGTGCGCCTTTGAAAATGGAGGTGCTTAAACCCAAAAGAAGATATCACCAGAACAGAATGAGCTGCAGATTCATAGCAAGCATTAGAGTCAGAATGAAAATAAACTTTTAATACTTTGGGAACATTTAGGTCAAGTAGGAAAAAAATCCGTTAAGGTGCAAGTTGAATCTTTTTACTATTATCGTGAATCCAGAACAATTTTACCTGTTTCGTCGGGAAGATTTGGATTGGTTTGCTGAATGTAATTCTATAGATAATGCAAATATTAAAGAGCAGTTGCCCTGAGAAACTAATAATTATATGTCCATATTTATAAAGGTGTATAAGAACTTTTGTTCTTCTGGCCTCAAGCTATCTTTGTCAGGGTATAAATACGCAATCAATAGGTTCCTGTGCCTGTGGTGTAGTGGTCCTGTATAAATCAAGCACTCCTTTAATTCCAGGTCCACACTTAGCAGCATTTGTAATACTAGCAAATGAGGCTAGTGTAGTCAAAACTACTCTGTAAGTGAAGACGCTTGCCTTCCATTACCAAGCCCAAACTGATAACATGTGCATACTCAAGATTGTGCTTTAACATCATATGCTTACCTCTTTTCACACTAGTGGGATAAATTGATTGCTTCTCTTGGAAACTCTTCTAATTTCATTTAGTTTTAGGGAAGCAAAGCAGGTGCAGATGATCATTACAGGCATGTGATACAGATGACCATTCTACTTTTATTTTCCATTTTGAATGTAACAGCATAGTAACATCTGCTGTTCTGAGCATTGCAGGTCTGTTCTTTTTAGGGTACAGGTTTGAGCATTGATGATTTGCTGAAATAGAAAATTTTTCATGCTGTTAGTTGATGAGCAGCTATTTAATATCTAACACTATCTTGAAAGGCCATACTGAAGACTTGTCTTACATAGCTGAGCTGTCGTTTTGCTCTCTGGGGTTGATCTTGTACATAAAAGAAATAAACCAGAATTTGATAGTTTGGAATTTATATTTTCATTTTTCATAAGTCCACAGCTCTGTATGCTTTTATAAGGCCTGGTCCGCAGTTTGTTCGTTCCAGTAATTTTTGGAATAGGCACAAAACATCCTGTTCAGGTCTACAAAGATGGATGAGTGTCTGTGATCATTACATAAAATGTTTTTGCACATCTTCAATACTGCTGGTAGAAATTACATGGATCAACATGATTTGATCATTCAGCAACATTAACCTGCTTTCCCTTATACTGATCTCACCTTGATCAAATCCCCACTGTGTAGCAGGCCATACAAGTGGAAACGCCTTGCAGCATGCCCTCCAGGTCTGCTCATGAAGTCCAATTCCCATGAAGAACAGAGAACAGCGTGCTTCAGAACTGAGATCTTCTCCAGAAGATTTAATTTATCCCATATTTGGGCTTTAGGGAAAAACTCAAGAAGCAGCTGAAATAAGCTGTTAAGTAATACAAGCGCATTGCTGATGTTTTTAATTCACTTATATTAAAAAATATTTAAAAAACGCAGCAACCTGTAGCTTGGGATGCTATTGCAGTTGTCCCATAATAGCATGTGTATTGTAGACCACTTACTAAGTGCTTATCCGTCTTCACTTGCTGCATAAATATGTATCTCCCCTCCTCCAATAATTCATCTTCCTGACAACCTTTCTCATTTTTCTCTTGCCTTTCTTCTGCCCACCCTTTCTTCATTTTTTCCTCCTATTGGATCTCACTTTTTTGTCTGCCTTTATTTCCCTCCCTGTCTTCCACAGCCTCTTGCTTTCATTTCTCCAGGAGGGCAGTCCTCGTTGCACAGTTCACCACTGTCATTCTCCCATAATGATTAGGAAACTCGCCAGCACGACTGTAATGTTTTCTTTTTCCTCTATAAAAATCAATTTCCTTTTTGGATTTTTGATCTATATCTACATGTCAAGATAGTTGTATCACTAGACTAAATAAAATGTCTTTATCAAGAAGTAGGACATGTCATTTAATTGAGGGGTGGGGGGAAAGAAGTATGTGCATAGTGGCATTGGGGAAAATACGTTGCTATACCCTTTTTATTTTCTGACAGTCTTTTCAGATTTAGTAGATGTTGTTATAGGAAATGATTTGGCCTGTCCTGACATACAAGAGGCCAATAATTTATATTTTGTTCAGTTATGGTTGGAAGGTGTGAACTTCAAAAAAAAAAAAAAAATTGATATTTAAAATCTGATTATTGAGAAAGACTGACCCAAAGATCAACTGAAAGATCAGAATTCTTACAGATAGGGTTGCAAATATTTAAAAAAAATAGTTAACCTGCATAGAAGGTCAGAGATGCGTTGGAGTTGGAGTTTTTTGTTGCAACAAACTGCTAATATTCAGAAGAAGTAACTACATAAAATATACCCAAATGGTGAAATATAAATTCATGTCAAATAAGTCATCTGCTCTGCAATTGCTCTGTTTAGTTTTTAATATATCAACATTTTATAATCACCAAAAAACCAAATTCTAATTAACTGTATATGGACTTTAATTGTTATGGCTGGTCTTGGTTATTTGCAAGCTGTTTGGATTCCCCTAAGTTTTACTTGGAAACCATTTTAGATCAAGGCATTGAAAAAGACACTTGTTCATTCCAAGCCTTTTTTGTGTTTGAATTACTATAAATGCCTACTTGTACTTTTCATGGTGACACTTACTTATCCCCACAGTTAACATTATCTGATAAACAGGAACATTTACGCTATGAATAAAGTCAGCAGACCTCAGACTGCTAATTGGTTATAGGTAACAAATGAGAAAATAGCAAAGCTGCTTTGTTTTAGAAATACGTTTTACACCCATTCTGTATGAGTGCAAATGATAATACAGTGTGAAACAGAGAGGAGAATTCAGGTCTGCATGGAATCAGAACGATAGACAAGTGTGTAACCACAATGAGAGGCAAAACTTAACGTAAGTCAGTTCAAAATCTAGTCAAAAGTGTTTTTTTTGTTTTGTTTTTGTCCTCGCTATTTCTTGACAGAAGCTCATCCTTCTATTCTGGAGTTTCAATCAAGATGCATATTTTTAGGAAACCAGGAATAGCACTTACAAAAATATATTTACATTTGTTAGCTCTGTCTACAAGATTTGATGTTAAGTATAATAAACAATCTTTTTTTACCTCAGAATTGAAAAGGATTCAAGTTATGACATCCTGTGAATATTGAATATCCCAGCTTTAGAGTTAGTGTGATTATTCAAGGAGTCACTCCTGAAACGGTTATTTGTTAATGTTTGTTTACAGTATCCCCTAAGTCTTCAGATGATGACATGTACTTGAAGGTTCAGAACTGTACTGATTAAGCAGAAATTGATGAGAGAAATAAATATATTTCTAAGTCTGAAAGGTTCCTAGAATTTCGGATGTATTTAACAACCTGAAGGGAAAAGCCCTCAGGAGTAAGGAATGTTTAAAGGGAGCAGGTAATTGACTTTCCACAACTCCCCCCCCCCCCCCCCCCTCAATCTTTTTTTTAGGTGGTACTGTGTCAGATTTTAGGTTTGGTTAGGCTTTGAGAAAACTGAAATATGCTGTTGCTTAACCTGAAGGTAATGGAGATTTGAGTTAATCGGAATTTTGTGTTGATTGAACAAGTCCTCTTGGTGGCAAATCTGATGCAAGCTTGTGATTAAAGTGAAAGAGAGGATTGAACTTTGTCTATCGTCTATTCAGAAGGGGTAAAACCGTTGCCCATGGGAAGTTTTACATTTGATCTGGGAATAAGAGCCTGAGCTATTTTATGTTTTAGTAAAGCCATTTGCCCTTGAAACAGAAGGGCAAAAAGATTGACAATATCGGATCATAGAAACACTTAATGGGATAACTATGGTTCAATTCCTTGAGTTTTGGATAGGAGGAAGTCACCTACCGGTACTAAAATGTGAGTAAGAGGTCCAGAGATAAGCAGCAGAAACGTTTTTCAGCTTAATTGTCTCAACAAGCTGAAAAGATTAGGTGGCAAATTTGTGACGCCTCATATTGATGTTATCTTTTTTACTGGCAGACCTATAGTTTTGGGATATATTAGCGTTTCTATATTAGTAGGAATCTCTTGAGTCTGCTTTTTACGACTGTAAGATAGTATGCCATTACTTACACGAGTGGGCCAAATTCTTGAGAGTATCTTGGTTTTGATGCTGTCTCCAGGAGCAGAACACGTGTCCTCTTATTCACTACTTGAAAAGAAACAGGCACAAGGGTATAGTAATCCAAAGACTTTGTGCGCTGAATGGTGGGCTGCCTAAATGTGAGGTGAGTCTGGTCTTAAATTCTGTGCCCTTTGGGAGCTTGCTGGGCATTTGAATTAAGTTTGCAAGGGAAAGGACACTATCCACGCAGTCTGAAAGCTGAATTCTGTTTCCTGAGTAGGGTTTGCCTGATTAA